GAAGAGCTGGAGGTTGCTGTGAGCTCCCTGTGATGCCACAGCACTCTACCGAGGGTGAAAAAGTGAGACTCTGTCTCTAAAAGAAATATATCTATATATAGATGTATAGATAGTTACAGTGTTTTGGTCCAGCTTTGAGTCCCTGACAAGAGGCTTGTCATTTTCACTTGTGGAAGGGCTGGTTAAGTCCACACTCCCAACCACTTCCCTTACCAGGTTTTCAAACTCTGGGGTAGTATATATGAGCCCCAGTCACCTCAGGGCCAAATATCAGATGTCTAGTGGTAGTCTCTGCTCTGGAGCTTGTAAAATTACTCAGATCAGCCAATCCACAGGGAGTTCAGAAAACATAGCTAACCTCAATCCACTTGCTCTGCAGAAGTCGCCCTCTAAGGTCCAGTTTGATGTTAGCTTGTTTCTTTTCAACTCTTGTGCAGCCCTGTCCTATGTCCTCTGGTTTTGAGCTGTAGATAACGAAGTGTTCTCCCTTTCATCTATACGAGTGTCATTATCTTGCATATTGACAGCAAAAGAACCAAACAATGCCACATAATCATAACCCAAAAGAGAGAATTATGAGAACAGAGAATGTTGAAAAGTCTTCAGCCATTAGCCTAAACTTACTGAGCACTAGTAATTTTATCCTAGAGAAACACCTTAGGAATGCAGGCAGTGTTGTTTCTTTTTTCCTTTGTCAGCAGATTAGACAACAGAGCCAGGCTGTAGAAGTTAGACTTGGTAAGGACTGTCTCAACCAGGAATTGAATCTTATATCCAAAAATCCACACAAGAAAGATTTGTTGTAATTGTCAGGCACACAGACATCTTTGAATCACGTTGGACTTTCTGAACTGCCTGGGGTCCTTGCCAGAGTTGTCACTGAAAATGTGTATATTGGCAAAAGACTTTCCTACTCTATTAGCTGGCATGACGTCATAGCGTATAGCACCCTGGTCCCCTTAAAATGCTTAGGGCAGATTGCTGTGCTCTCTACCCAGAATATCCACCAGTCATTTGATCCCTCTGGGGAGCCTCATTCTTACTTGCTGATTAGGGTGCGGACATCACCCATCTTTGGACTGAGAACATGAGCGGGGTTCAGTTGGCAACACGTAGAGATTTCTGTTCTTCAGGGGTACTATTATGTGTCATATAAAATTTGTTCAGATTATTATTATTTTTTTTTTTTTTGAGACAGAGCCTCAAGCTGTCCCCTGGGTAGAGTGCTATGGCGTCACAGCTCACAGCAACCTCCAACTCCTGGGCTCAAGCGAGTCTCCTGACTCCGCCTTCCAAGTAGCTGGGACCACGGGCGCCCGCACAACACCCAGCTATTTTTTGGTTGCAGCCATCATTGTTGTTTTGCGGGCCCAGGCTGGATTTGAACCTACCACCTTAGGTGTATGTGGCTGTTGCCTTAGCCACTTGAGCCACAGGCACCAAGCCATTTTTTCAGATTATTATGGGTATATATGAGTTGGTTACACAGTTGCCCTGAGGTCAGAGGCAGCTCCCCAACAAAGTCCGTGACACAAAGAAAAGTTCATTATGCAGAAACCACCGTGCTGGGTGTCAGCAGCACTGGGCCAATGAAAGCTCAGAAGAGGGGCTTTTCTGCTCCATAGGAGGGCGTCTGGGCGGGACCAAGTTTGGTATAGTCGGGTGTGTCTACTGCTTAGGAGCTGTGCAACTCTGAGTTGGCTTGAGATAAGCGTGTGGAAAAACGCTGTCCACCCGGCCCTGAGGTTCTGCAACACCACTCCGAGTGACCTGCGCCAGTGGTTTGCATCTAGTTGGGCACCTGAGAGCAACCCCTAGGCAGAGCGTAATAGATGGGGCATGTGGGAGACAAGGTCACCAGCAGCAGCGGCAGATGGTGGAGTGAAACTTCTCAGGAGGGATGCCGACAAGTCCTCCTGGATGAAGAGTTGCAGTGTCTATCAAAGGAGACCTTCACATGGTAGGAGGCCAGGAAAGACTCAAACAGTTTTAGTTTTCTCCAGGTCGCTCATAGCAGAGGGAAGCCACAGAAGGACGTGAACAATGTGGAGGCTTTTCATAACTGGCACTGTAAGTGCAACAAAAATGAGAAAGCCTTCTGCTGAAAATATAGACTTGCTGAGCACCAGAGAGTTCACACTGAAGAAAGGTCTTATGAGTGCAATGAATGCGAGAAATCCTTTAGCTATAAACATATACTTATTAAGCACTGGGGAGTCCACACTGGAGAAAGGCCTTATTGTTGCAGTAAGACAAGGCCCAACGGAGAGAAAAAGCACCCAAACTTCACGTTTATAAGAGGAAGGGCTTTATTTACCAGCCGGGAGCTTACAGCATAGAAGATTTCCAAATGGCCGTACTCCCCGACTGGCTTGGTCTTTCCCTTTTTATCAACAGTTAAAAAGTTCCATCCCACAGGTGCCCCTCTCATTGGCCAGTTTGAATCAAGCAGGAGATGTTATTCCAGCCTGTACAGAACTTGGAAATTTCCAAGTTACAAATTCCCAACAGCTGAGTCACCATGGAGAGGACCTTGCAGGTGTATCCTTGTGGTCTCCTTGAGAAGACCAGTTCTCCTAGACCTCAACCATCTCAGGTATCCTCTCTCATTATGAGTGCAGTGAATGTGCAAAAGCCATTAGCAATAAATCCATACTTACTCAGCAGCAGCAATTCATTCTGGAGAAGGGCCTTATAAATACAGGGAATGCGGGATTTGGGGTTTTTTTGTTTTGTAGAGACAAAGTCTCACTTTATCACCCTCAGTAGAGTGCCGTGGCATCACAATGCTCACAGCAACCTCCAAGTCCTGGGCTTAGGTGATTCTCCTGCCTCACCCTCCCAAGTAGCTGGCACTACAGGCTCTTGTCACAATGCGTGGCTATTTTTTTGTTGCAGTTCGGCGGGGCTGGGTTTGAACCTGCCACCTAGAACCCGCCACCCTCAGTATATGGGGCCAGTGCCCTACTGACTGAGTAACAGGCACCGCCCAGAATGTGGGAAATTTTTTAACCAAATCCCTAGCCTCATTAAACATTGGAGAGTTAACACAGTGAAAAGCCAAATCACCTGTCTGGAAACTACCTGCCTCAGTTTGGTCTGGTTTGTGATAATAAAGATTGTGTTATTTATGCCACATTTTGTCTTGGTGTTTCTGTTCCCTGGTTGGGGTGGTTTGAGAACAGTATTGGATTCTGCCAATATAAAGGAGTGACACTTTCAGGTGTCCCAAACTTTGTGTGCTTTAATGGGATAGTATCATGGTAGAGTATACTTTTCACTCTAGGCTTAATGTGCATTGTTGCCCAAGTCCTCCTAAAATAGACTATAGGGTTTTGTTGGACTAATCTTTTTTTTTTTTTTTTTT